CACGATCCCAAATGTCGATTGGACTGCCCACTTGCTCCAATCTAGCTCCACCATGCAGATTTTTAGCCTCGATTACTCCTCCAGAGACTCTTTCTATAAATACAAGACTCGAGCTACATTCAAAGGGTTCAACACCAAAACAAAGCATCCCACGGAGCAACTTATTTTTTCCTGTAATGCACTTTCAATATCTTTACTTGCTTTCCTAGGAGTAGTGTTAGATTGTAAGGAAAATCCATTCATCAATATATCATACGACCCTTGATTTTCAAGGCGCCGGAGCACCATCCTTGTTGTTCGTTCACTCACCCCATATATCACACGACCGTCGCTCCCTGAGCAGCGCGCCGGAGCACCTCCCAAAACCCACCACCAACACCATCACTCAACAGCCTTGTAGTTCATGCCGTGAACCTAACAACCGAGACCAGTTCCTCTCTCGGCTATAATCGTTTGATTAGGAAGACAGTTCAAACAGGCGCACCACTTATCCATCCAACACTCATCAACACATCGACGCACGGTAGACCGTGCTGGCACGCCCGCGCACAACCGCACCGCACCCAAAAGCAGGAAACCGCGTGTCAACGCACATCCCCTCGGCCCGGAACTCCAGGCCGTGAGATTTGCGCGGCAGACAATTTAGAAAATGAGGTATACCTCCTCCATGCAATCTTCTTTTCCAAACTTAGCAAAGCTTGCAGCTAGTTCTTCATGGCAATGACAGCTTACTCCTCAGCTCGTTCATCCCACGGCACCAACTCACACAGCTCAACTCCAAACAAGAATAAGAAATTTGGATTCAAAATGAAATAATCAATTTCTTAAAGAAACCATATTCTTTAAGAAATCAATCTAGAATCTGACCTAGATCTATGAGAATTTGTTTGATTTAGCTAGATGCAGATTTCATCTTTCAAAGCAGTTTTCAAAATCAATTTGAAAAACTCATTTATGAAAAGATGGAGAAATCACTCCAAGGGAAATGAGAGCAAAGGAGGAGAAACTCACAACCTCTTAAAAACACCTTTCCTAAAGTGACGGCTCCAAAAGGAATGAAGGGACCATTTACCCAAAATTCCTAGGTCTGAAACAGATGGATGGTAGTAGAAGAATATCAAAGAATAAGATAAAATTTGTTAGGACCCAGCTGGAAAACGAAATGAGCTGGCAGAACTCATTAAGCACAAACGATGACTAGTCAAACACATGAAAGATGACTAGTCATAACATAATGCAATCTAATGAATGTAATGCAGAATTTACCTTTGGCATCCCTTGATTATGTTGAGCCATTGATGATCAAAGCCACTGGAGAACAACTAGATAACAATTTAACCTAGTCTAATAACCTTGAGCTTGGGAAATACATTACATGTCCTATTACAAAGTTGGCAAGGAAAGCTAAAAGAATACTAGCTAGAATACAACTCAACATGCTCTTGTTGAGGCATGGAGCTATATCAACAAAGCGAGGAGAATGCATTGGATTTGCTCAACTGATAAAATTATAGGCACTTCACGTATCGCTAGACTATGTTCTTGAATATATTTGTAACTATAATAACGACCAGGGAAAAAAGGATCTCCATCATCAGTATAGTTGTAGGAGGTTAAAGAGTAAAGTGGGTTGGAGAAGTAGTTTTCTTTCTTCTGAACACCAACATCCACAACTCGGATTGTCCAGTCACTGTAATTGATCGCCTTTACGTAATATTTTAATCGATACAAGCATATTATTGTAACATTTTTCTCACAATATAGCTTAAAAGCGTTGCGGCTACAGTTTTGAGGGCCTTCTTTTAAGTGAAATGGAGACTTTATGTTTATATTGGCACAAGAAAGGGTACTATCTTCAACGGTGGATGTTTGGAAATATAACATAGGAGGAACAAGAAGAAGAAGGGCTATGTGTGCAACAAATAGGAGACTTCCTCTAGACATGGTGAGAGAGAATATTAGGAGGAAGGGAAGAGGCATTCAATCCAATAGGAATTTATCGAAATTAAGGAAGAGGACATATTAATTAGATATGGCCATTTGGATAAGCTGATTAGTCAACCAAAAGCAACCCAAAAGACAAAAAAAATTCAGCATTAATCCTTAATGAAAATAGTGAAGGCATTTTACCAACTAGTTGTCAGCTTACTGATATTTATATATTTTCAATGTTGAAAGAGGTCTCAAGTTCAAATTTTTTATCTCTCGTAGGTCAAATACAATCATATATATATAAAGGGTAAGTGCTGTTTTGCACCCTAAACTATAAGAGGCAATTCAAACTTACCCCCCTTGAATTAATTCGTCTGCCGAATTAGTCTTTGTATTCGTTTAAAATAGCCCATATGGGACCTGTCGTTAGTTTTCTGAGGACATCCACATTACCATCAAAGCACATGCAACTCATGTGTCCATTTAGACGGAAATATGGATGAAATATCCAGAAATCTAACGACAGGTCCCATATTGACTATTTTAAACAAATAGAAGGACTAAATTGGCAGATGAAATAATTCAGGGGGGTAAGTTCTAATTGCCTTATAGTTCAGGCGGCAAAACGGCTAAAAATCCATATATAAATGTGTGTGTGTGCACGCAAACGGTATAATGCAAAATCTTATCCGTATATATCTTTCTTATATACAATAGATAATAACTTAGCAAGAGACCAAAATGTTGCAAGCTGTTTTTTCATCAGAAATAATGCTTCTGGTCAACTTCTTATGCCGGTTGCTCATAGTAGTAGATGCAGATGCAGTGCATGGCAGAGTAGATGCAGATGCAGTGCATGGCAGAGTAGATGCAGATGCAGTGCATGCAGTGCATCCGATTCCCATTTTGACTTAAAGGTAAGCAGTCAATCCATTGCGGTTATCATGGCTTTGATCTGTCATGCACTAACGAAATGAGACTCTGCTTGAGATGCCATCGTCATCCTCTTCGTTGAAAAGATTAAGTACACATCTCAGGAGATTGAAATATCTTACCAATATGAGTTCCCACCGAAAGATTAAGAACACAACTCAGGTGATTGAACTATTGCACAAATGCTGCTTTGTGAAATTTATGTTTCCTTTAAAATCTGTGCTAATTCTATTATGTAGAATAACATTAATTATTTTGTTACATCTTTGTTCAAATTAAATGAGGGTTCTCTTTTAGCAAGTAGATTTCTAATGAATTCTGTGAGCCTCCAATTAAGTTTCCTATTTTGCAGGGATCAATTGATTTTGAATGTTTGGGCAGAAGATAAGGATGAAGAACTTGAAGATCCTTAAGCTGACAGACCTTCAGCAAAGGGGAGCTACTTCTATCATGTTTCTCATGAATGTGTTTGAAGGCATGAATACAATTTGATTTGAGCTTGTAACTTTTTCATTTTAGATTATACATATACTATTGTAGTTCGAATTAGCTTGATGGGAAGGTGGACAAACTTTAGTGGTGTAGGGGGTAAGAAAATATTTGTATGAATTCCATTGTGAATCAGCTGCCCCATTTGCAATATCTTGGGGAAGCTGCTACTTGCACATATCTAAATGTAATTCTAGCTTCAAAGTGTTTTCTTTGAGTGTAGAATTGTGAAAGCACTTGATAGAATAAATGGACTTGTTTTTTTATTTATTCTTTTTGTAATTAAATGAACGTATTAACAAAAAGGAGGGCAAATCCCTTAGTGCAAATACCTACAGGGGTAGTCCTACCAATTGAAGACAATCCCAAGCTAACAATACAACAAACCCTAATAGCAATTAGCTCATAGGGATCTTCCAATCTGCAACAAGATAGGAGTTAGGAGGTTTTAAACACTCTATAGAGCACATCATACCTAATAGAATTTTGCAATTACTGAAAATCCTACAATTTGAGTGTTACAACAAGGGGGCAAGAAGCGTTTGAAAATCCTACAATTTATTTCCTTCCAAATGTCTAATTGTGCTTATTCATTACGTAATCTCCCTTGCACATCAAGATTGCTATATATTACATTGTTTGATTCGCATCAGCAATCAAAACAATTTCTGTAGAATTTGTAACTGTTGATGCACTTGTGGTACTTGAATTGTCCCCAGGAACCACTTCTGGCATTTGTTGTGGATACAAAAAAGGCTTTGGAGGCATTTCAAGGCTCTCAATTTCTCCTTCAAGCATCTCAACTACTTTATTCATAGAAGGACGGTCACTAGGCTTCATTTGTATGCACCACAATGCCACAATGATCATCTTCTTTATGATCTTCTCTTCCTCCTCTGTGGCGTCTCCAACTTTTATGTCCTTTCCTTCACTCAATTGGTCAAAAACCCATGTTGGAAAGTATATTTGGCTTGACTTCTCTATGGTTGCATTTAAATTCTTTCTTTTGCCAGCCATTTCCATCAACAACATTCCAAAACTATAGACATCAGCTTTGTATGAAATACCTCCAATATTTTTATAGAATAACTCTGGTGCTATGTATCCGAGAGTTCCTCTTGCTGCTGTTAAAGATACAATGCTATTATCGAGCGGGCATAGCCTTGCTAATCCAAAATCAGACACCTTGGGAAGAAAATTCTCGTCAAGAAGAATGTTATGAGGTTTGATGTCAAAGTGCAGAATTTGCATTTCACATCCTCTGTGCAGATATTCAATACCACGAGCCACTCCAAGCGCAATTTCAAACATTTTCTCACAATTCAAAGAGATAACTCCCTGTTGAGAAAATAAGTATTTATCAAGAGATCCATTAGGCATGAAATCGTATACGAGAGCACGCTTTGAACCCTCAACACAAAAGCCAATTAGTTGCACCACGTTAACATGGTGAATCCTTCCAATGGTTGCAACTTCATTGATGAAGTCTTGCCCATTAGCTTTGGACTTACCCAACATCTTGATGGCAACAAGGTGACCGCTACGAAGCTTTGCCTTGTATACAGAGCCATAGCCTCCTTCACCCAATTTTTCCTTGAAACCTTTGGCCATCTTTTTTATGTTTGAGTAAGAGTACCCTACTAGCACGAGCTTATTGTTATGCAAAAAGTCTTCTATATTGTCATGCATTGACAAATGCCTCCTTTTCCATTTGTATATCATTAATGCAGTTGCACAGGGAAAGCCAAACACGCATATGACTGTGTGCAATATTCCTGCGCAGTTCACAAAAAGTGGACTTAAAAACCAAATATTGAAAATAAAATAAAAACCAAAGATTGTCTCTCTCCTCCTTTCTTTCTCATTTTGTCTCTCTATCTCTTTAACTTAAAAACCAAATATTGAAAATAAAAAAACCAAAATGCTTTTATTCTTCAGTTACCAATAGCTAAAACTGCAAAATGCTACACAGTAACTGATTTCAAGCAGTTCACATTACCTAGGTAAGAGATTACACAGCTTAATGGAAGCAGATAAAGGGGGACATCACTGTAGCACTTGTTGGTGAGCGCAAATACATATAACTGGGATACCCATTCTGCGACACAAGTGAAAAACTCGATCATAAATTCATAATTCAATTAAGTATACTTTGAATTATATGTAAGTTGGATTAGAGAGTCAGCTACTTTGCCTGTTGCATAGTATATGAACTGTAAGATCTCCCATACTTTGCCTGGTATAGAGCGTATGAACTGTAAGATCTTCTTGTGCAAATGTTCTGCATTGCAAAAGAAAATTAGATCTTCATATTTTGTATATATTAGAAATCAATATGTCATAGTCTCCTTTTGACCGCCAAATTATTTGTAGTGAAAACACCATAAACTAGCCTCCCGTACTTAGTTGATAAAAACTCTCTTCCTATTCCTTTGATCAGTATCTCTAACATAATATATCTATAGTAGATGACTGCAATCTCTACACATGAAAACAGCATGAAATGTTATTTGACAACAAAATCTTGTCAATGTGTAAAGTTTCATATCCATCACATTCTTATCTTTCTCACGGGATTAACCAAGGATAGAGAGCATGCTCTGATACCATGTTAATGCGGAATAATTCGGTCATGATTCTGTGTTTATTTAAAATGGCAAAGCTCGATATACAAGACAATGAAACTAAGAATGGTAACCTCTAAAACTCAAAAATACAATCAAGGGAGAAATTGACAACTAAGGAAATTAACCAAATATGAAGAATTAAAATTAAATGGGTGGGTTCTACCATTACTTTGTTCAAGGAACCTCCAGACTTTATTAGTGACCTCTTATTTGAGGAATGTTCTACCATTACTTTGTTTGAGGAACCTCCAGACTTTATTAGTGACCTCCTATTTGAGGAATGTAACATGTAATTTTTCTACATGGGATACTCTATTAGTGGTTTGGTTCCTGCCCCCGCTTTGCGGTTGAACGGGTAAGACTACTCAATTAGTCCGACGACATGGTCTTATTTTTTTGGTACTGTTACTCATTCCCTCTATCAATCAATAATACTATCCCTCTTTTCTCCACAAAAAAAAAAAAACAGTGGTCAAATGAATAAATAAGGCTTGGTGGGTGGTGAAGAAGATATTTAACAGCGCTGCATATTACTGACATCATCTGGAGGAGAGAGAACAAATATGTTGACTCTAGCTAGCATTATTGAATAAGTGAAATCATTAACAGATGCACTATAGTACCTTTGGTTATTGAAGGGCACTTGGTTTTACTCATGTTGTCGAGCGTGCAGTTCTCCTTATCCATTCCACATTTTAAGTAACATGCACCGTTAAACCATGAGAGCTCAAAGCCGCGAGCTATTTCATTATATATACCTTCACAGGACAAGTTCTGGTGCAGATCTGTAGATGTTGAAGGTGACACCACAACCATTTTTGTTATTTTGCAGGACTCCCCCAAATCGAATGGACTTATGGAGCCATTCAAGCCAATCATGACATAAGAAAACATTCTTAAAGTACTGGACAAAGAAGAATTGGCAGAATTGT